AGAGGCCAGTTAGGAGGTGATGGCAGGAACTTCTGAGAGCCATCCTAAGACTCTGAGCGGAGGGCGGATTTCACTTACTCAGGCAACAAACATGTAACACTCAGTACCAGCCACTGTGTGCTAAGCTAAGCATTGATAATATAGCAGCGACCGAAACCAAGTCCCTGCCTTCCAAGTACTTTGTGTCTAGGAGGCAGCAGGAGGGACTGGGAACATGGGTGATAGATGTAAGGATGTGATTTGAAACTCATGACAAGGGATGCTGGTTGGAGCTATGGAAGCATAGGAGGCACCAGAGAAGAGAAAACAAAAATATTTGGAGAGAAAAAGAGACCTGCAGTGATAGAACCTAAGGAACATTCTGTGGAGAACCAACTGATTTCACTCCGTGATAGCACAGTCTTCATCAAGCCAACACAACAAAACTGTCCCTCAAAATATCCGGTTGTGGCTAAGAAGCTGTAGGACACAGAAGAGATAATGTCCGTTTAGACAGCCAGCCCTCCTTGACTACCTACATCACTCCTATATATGAAGTAAGATTACCCCAAGGTCGTATATGGTTTTATGCAAGAGCAGGTCTATTTGGTTTCCTCAGAACAGTCTTTAAGAAATACCAGTGTATGTAAAAATGCTATAGGTGACGGCCCAAGTTGCTGGCCTCTCCAATCTTTTCCTAGACCAGCTGGCTCTTTTTTACTTTTCCCCAAGTTATTGGAGTGGATCCAGGAGCAGATTCTGAGATCCTCAAGCTTTTCCTTATTTACCCTGCCAGTAATTACATGTCACAGGTTGTCTTCACTACTGGAGTCTGAGAGCTGAGCAATTAGTCTCCCATTGTCTTTACAGGAAATGACATCCATGTGGCTTCTGGGGAAAACAACTGTTGACCGCTCTGGTTAAAATAATTTGGAAAGCGTTCAGCACTTCCTCTGGTTGATCATTTAAACTGGCTGATTTAGAAAGCCTTTGGAAATGAGCAAAGCTAACAAAGGTTGTTACAACCAGAAATACTCCTGAATCAGTTCCCCCAAAGAAAACAAGTCTCTGAACTGTTGCTCTGGTCTCTCAATGCACCATCTTGTCCAGACTCTTCAGCGTGCAGCTGAGCCCAATGCCTCGGTGTTCTGTTCCTTTTATAATGCTTTATTGGGCACTGATTAATCAAGATGCTTTCCAGCTACAGATAATTGAAAACCCAACTCAAGGAGTCCTGAAAAATAAGAAATTTACTGGAGCTCCATTGATTCCACAGACTTCAGAGTTGGACCTAATGCAGTCATGGCAACTCTGCTTCCCTGGGACATTTTGTCTTTGCTTTCCTCTCTGGGCCCGCTTTATCATCAGACTAGAGCGACGTAGCTACAGAAGTCCTAGGCATCGTATCCCACACAACATGCAGAAGGGGGCAGTTTATCTCAAAATAAGGAGAAGCTCCCAGCAAAACATTCTTCACATCCTGACGGCCTGATTTGGGTCACATGCCCAATCTTGAACCAGTCCCTGACAAGAGGAATGCGTTCCCCTTACATCAGTGCATTTGAAACCCTGTGGACCCGCAGATCACCTGGGGATCTTGTAAAACAGATTCTGATTCAGTAGATTTGGGCCGGGGCCTCAGAGCTGACATGTCTCAGAAGCTCCCTGGTGATGCTGATGTTGCTGGGTGGCACACCACAAGGCCTTAGGCCCTTCAGGTCCCCACCCTCCAGCTGGGAGTGCTGTCACCTGCCCCGTGACACTGTGGCTGAGGAATCTAGGGGATCTGTTAGGAAGAAGGGAGAAGGAATGACCCATGCAGACGGGGACTGTTTCCAGGGGTAATGAGAATGTTAACCTTTAAACCAGGAGTTGCTTAGGGTCTATGGTATGTATTAGAAGCAAAAAGTACATGCAGGGCAACGTGTTATATGGGAATGCCTATAATTATTGACTATTTATGAAGACGTATATGTCATAATTTTTTGAAGATTATTTATTAGGGTATGAGTGGGGGGTTGGGAGAGAGGGAGAGAAGCAGACTCCTTGCGAGTGCGGAGCCTGAGCAGGGCTCCATCTCAGGTCCCCGAGATCATGACTTGAGGCGAAGGCAGATGCTTAACCGACTGAGCCACCCAGGCACCCCATATGTCATAATTCTTGAAACGAAAGATTAAACACTCACTATCACACAGTTCTTTTTTTTTTTAATACCATATATCTAGTGTGTCTCAAAAAGTGCAAATTCAAATGAAATATATGTAAATGTCCTTAAGTTTAAAAAGAATGTGCCAGGCCCAGCTTTTGAGCTGTGTGAATATGTCATCTTTGTCCTCAGGGAGAGACTATACCCTCATTGTCCTAAGAGTCCCTTGATATGATGTTGAGCATGAAAAATACTGTCAGTGGTTGAATTCATGCGAAAGCAAATAATCATAATTGCCCTTATGAGTGATTTTCAGTGGAGAAAATTATACTCTCATCATTTGAAAAGAAAAAACTGTTTTGGTATTTTTTTTTAAGTTCACTTACTTTTTTAAGAGATCTCTACACCAGAGTGGAGCTCAAACCCATGACCCTGAGATCAAGAGTCGCATCTATTATTTTTAAGTTTTTCTTAATAAAGATACACAGGAATCCTGAGCTGCAGCTGTTTAGGGAGAAAGCTAATAAGACCAAAGGACTGGTGTCTATCCTGAAGCAGATCTATCATAGACCCAGTGGGGCTCAGAGTGAACTACACAGCCAGGTGTTGAGTAGGCCCTCCTGAGACAGTCTCTTTTTGGTGGTGGTGTCATCTCTGACCTCATATGCAAGGACAAGCATCACTGGGGAAGGAAGATGACATTTTACCACTCCATCTCCCGGAACCCCCGGCTCACATATGTGAGACCTATGGGAGAAGCCGGAGCAACTCTTAACTGGCCTTGCCTGCATAGGTCACCAAGGTGCTCATACTTAGGAAATCACCGGAGATTTCTCGTCTTTGCAAAAGCCCTGCAGGTTGAGAGATTCCCAGCTACTCTACACTCAGTACTCTGTGAAGGCAGGGACTGTGCTTGTGTGACGGGATAGTGGAACCGCCCTTCCCTTCCCAGGAGATCTGTCAGCAGCACTGACTGAGCATCCACTCTCTAAAGAGAAGTAAAAGAGAACATTTTGTTACCTAACTTCAGTAATTGATACTCTAAATATGGAGTGTTTAGGTGTGCTGTCTACATATTTAGGACCTCACAGCCTGCCAGAGAGACATGAAATAAAAGTCATAGTAGCTGACCTGTATGGGGCAGGTGAGAAAGCCCTTGGACTTGCTGATTGATTCAAACAGTGCTGGCCGCATGCTTTCCCACCTGGATGTGCAGTGAAGCAAAGCATTATTAGCCAAGGGAGGGGGGAAAAAAAGAGTACGTTCCCTTATAGCCTAAAAGGTAGGATACAGTAAGTGTATTTCAAGTATCTGTATCGAATAAAACATAGTTTTTGAAAGGACAAAAAAAGGGGTAAGATCATAGCCATTGGGAAAATCAAGGTAGAAAGGGCTCAAAAGAAGAAGAAAGTTGAGCCAGGCCCAAAAGCGGGGGCTCATGACCTGGGGTCCAGGAATGGAATTTGGGGCTCTGTGAACTTAGATGGGGGGGAATTGTTTTCACTAACCCTTAACCAAAATCTAACATTTCCTTCTATTACAAAAGCAGCATTGCATTAGTTCTTTGTCACCAATAGAAATTACAGGTATTTTCATATTACATTATGGTTATAGAGACTTCCTAAAATATCATTTATGTCCAATAGTACTTCAAATTACAGTAATTATTAAACTTCTGCTGGAACTTATTTAAATATGGAAAGAAACAGTTTTGTCACATATTTTGATAACTATATATCAACATACTTCTTTGGAATCCTGTTCACGTATTAATTTTAAGCATTTAAAAACATTATTCTGAGAAACGTGTCTCTAGACAGCCTACGGCACAGAAAGGGTAAAGAAAAATGGCCCAGACGATGGCTTGGCCTCCTACCAGCAGTTATGAGACAGAGACTCTTGGGAGGACCTGGCAGGCCCATGGACGCTGGCCAGGATAGGTGACTGGATGCTACGGCTTCCGGTGGAAAGATGTGGAGATAGAGCAGAGGGGAGCTGGAGTCCCAGGCTAATGTAATTTCACAGATAAATTTGTAGGTCATGGGAAGCCATGGAAGGTGTTTCTGCAAGGCCTCTTAAGTTGTGTTTGGGAAGGATGCCTTGCAGAGCCACGAAAGTAGGATTGGAAGGAAAGAAACCGGGGGCCAGGGAACCGGTTCCTGCCAGAAGCAATGCCAGGTGGTGTAATGATAAGATAGAGAGAAGGCGATGAGTTCCAGCACGCCCGCAGGACTAGAAGGGCAGGCTGGGACCTGGCTTTACCCAGGAGGTGAGGAAGGCCGTGTTTGTTTCCAGGCCCGGGTGATTAGGAGACAGATAATAGCTCCTTGCATGCCCTAAGTGTTTACTGCATGTCAGGTGCTGTTTTAAGCCTTGCTGTGACATTTATATGTCATTATATTTATCACATTTAATCTCCATAACCACCCTGGGAGGTCAGTACAATAATCCCTATTTTACAGATAAGAAAACGAAGTCTAGAAATGAACGGCGAGTGTCTCATGGCCAGCAGTTGCGAAGAGAGTGTGTTATTGAAGGAAACAGGGAAGAGAATTGGCTTGGGGGGAGACTTTCCATGAGTTCAATTTTAGATCTTCTTGCATTGTTTTGTCTTCCATTATTTTAAAGGGCTGAAAATTCAGGTATAGTGTGAGCAATAGTTTCTGGCTTATTTCATTGTCCAGATTTTTATTCGTTTGTTATTATGGGTGCCGAGTTAATTTGTAAATTGGTTTCATCTTCCTTTGAAAAACAAGCAGTAAGTGTTTGGTACGTTGATGAGTGCCCCCAAAGAAGGACAACTGTGTGCTTTCCAGAAGAGTAATTAATTCTGTGTAGAGATGCATTTTTCCTTTTGTTGTGGTTTGTCTTTCAGGACTGGTCCAGCAGCTGTATTAGAAGACATGTGGTGTGTATAAAGTTTGTGATACTTGGGGGAAATTTTGGTAAGTGTTACTGCTTTTACTTCTGATACCTTTTGTGGTAAAATGGTGTCCCAAAGAGAAGCCATTGCCTTGTTTTGTGCATCTTTTAAATCTGCACTCAACTTGGACAGAATGGGACTTTATAATTAGATGTGACATTCAATCACTACTTGTTGACAGTATGACATTTTTTTCCTGTTATTGCTGATGTTATTAAGAAATATGGAGTTTTCTAAGATTTAGTAAGAAGTCTAGATTTAGGGAAGCTTCTGGATGTGGGGTGAAGAATACCCTTGACAGTTTAGCTTATGGTCCAGGTAACCCATGGAATATAAGAGTAATAAAGTGCAGACCAGTAGAAAAACAACAATAAAAATTCTCCACAGCAGAGAAATCCTTATGGCTTCTCTGTTGAAATGAAAAATGGGCAGTTCGCTGCTTGGGGAATGGGAAATTGAAGGAAATCAAGAATCCCATCATGTGTGGGAGCCAGTCCCAGCATGATGACAGTGACCCAAGAGACCAAGCACATTAAGTTCAGTAACCACCCAGAATACTTTGCTAGCAGTAGTAAAAGTCTTCAGGGTCAGGTGACCTGGCTTAAAATTTAGTTCTCCACTAACTGATTGTTACATACACTCTCTGAGCCTCAGTTTCCTCATCTGTAAAACGAGGCTTATAATGTTATCTACCTCATATGGTTGTTACAAGAATAAAATGAGCTAAGTGGTACTGGGGCATGGTAGGTGCTCAGTAAAGCAGTTATTCTTGATAACAGCACAGTCTTATTTGGAAATTGGACATTTACCACTAAAGTCAAACTACCAAAAGATGTACATATCTCCCAGCAGGAGGGCCACCAAGGGTGGGTTGGTCACACCACATTTGCTGTCACAAGGGATGTCCCAGCTGGTCCATCCTCCAGAGTCCACTCTGCGGCAACCCCAAGACATTTGTCATCTTCTCCACTGCTGTCCACCCATTCTTAGACAAGCATGGCTAATTTAAGTTCCCTTCCCTGCCACCTTTACAGCTAAGTGCAGTCATCTTTGTTAGAGTTTTGTCTGGTTTTGAAATTAATGTTACTTTGAACCAAAATAATGAAAAGGGAAAAAAGAGTCGAAGAGTAGCTGGCACCCCTGGTTTGGGCTCAGTTGCCATATTTAGGCTTTCATTTCCAAACCTTTCTTTGGATTTTTTAAAAAATCTATGCTTATTGTGTACCCTTCCCAGAGATCCAGTTATTGAACTGAAATTTTTAAGCTTTGACTAAAAGAATTTGACTTTGTGGTAGAGCTTATATCTGTGGTTGGAGGGAATCAACCGTGTCACTGCAGGTGGGCTGGTGTTTAAGATCGGTGTCCCCAGGTGGCCCCTTCCAGTTTCATGGACTCAAAGAGACAGACACAACCTCAGGGATTGTCTGGCCCCACTAGCCCCAACAAAGTCTCTTCTACAGAACCTGTGACCGAGAGGAGTCCAAATTCTCTCAGAGGTGAGGAGCTTACTACTGTGCAGAGCAACTTACTCCAATTAAGGGGCACAGGGAAAGTTTAGGGGTTGATGAAATTATTTGTGGCAGTGTTTATATGGGTATATGTTTCATGCAAATTCATAGAACTCTACAATGAAAGGGTGAATTTTCCATAATTAAACCTTAGTTTTAAAATGGAACAAACAAACAAACCCCCAAGCAGACAAATACATAGACATGTAGTTCAAATTGTTAAAAAGAAAGAGGGAAGGGAGGAGGGAAGGAGAGAGGGAAGGAAAGCAATCTAGTCCTTCCACTGAAGGGTAGGTGCTCCATGAGGCGTGAACTTGGTCTTCTTCCTTCCTCTGGTCTCAGTGACTGGGCGGTGCCTGGCATGCAGAAGGCCTCTGATAAATATCTCTTGAGCCATCTATGCTTGTAGTCACTTTCTAAGCAAAAGTCTCCCCACTCTCTCACACAACAGCCCTTTGGGTATTTGAAGACCCTCTCCCTCATCGTTATTCGTCTTTTCTCCTCTGGGCGGAATTTAACCATGTTCCATCCACGTACTGTTTCCCTCCTGATGTTACATGCCTCGCCCTCCCCCAGCCTGCCTCTCCAGCATTAGAAACTCTGCCCCCGAGGTGATCCAGCCATGGAGCAGTACCCGGGGCTGTTGCTTCTGTAGACCATGTCAATAGATTCCAACCCTAATCCTCTTCCTTTGCAATCAGTACCGAGTGCCTGGTAATGGATCTGAAAGATTTCTAAAACAAAAACAAAACACACACACACAGTAGTGTCTATGGATGGGGCGGGAGGGAAAGGTAGGGAGGATAGCCATCCAAGAGATAGGGTGATGACAGATCCATCCTCTTAAGTGTCTTGACCGAAATGAGGCCAGGTCTTGCCCCCCTTTGTTTAAAACAGCAGTAGTGCTGTGTATAAATCTTTTAAGGTAGCACCCTATCACATCCTGACTCTTCATTATGAGTCATAGGAAGTTTGAAATTCTTAAAAAAAACTTGTGAGTGCCTTGAAAAATCTAGATTTTTTTTTTAACCCCCTAGCCATGCCATGGGGAGATGTATGAATACATAAATATAAAGAGTGGTGGTTCTCAACCTGAGTTAATTTTGTTTCTCCCAAAGGAGGAGGCAAAGTATTTTGGTTGTCACACCTGGGTGGTGGGAGAATGTGTGCTCCTGGCCTAGTGGGTGGAGGCCTCGGATGCTGCTATAACTATCTTACGGTGCGCAGGACAGCATCCGCCACACCCAGTGATCAGGCCCGAGGTGTTGAAAATGCTGAGACCGAGAAACCTGATATGGAAGTAATAAAAAAAAAATTAATGTTCAAAGCGCTATTACTTTGAAGGTTTAAAATTTTAAATACTTTGACATTTAAATATCTGTAAGTATAGAACTAGAAAACATCAAGAAGTTTGGTCACAGACCTCGTAAGGGACCGTCTCTTACACTACCCGTAACTCTGAGCAAGAACCGACTTCCATGGATTCAGGCAGACAGATGGGCATCTGAAGGCTTAGGCTGATGACTGTTGACTGAGAAGTGAGACTCACACAACACGATCCCCGCATTCACACAAAGGAGGTTGTCTCCTGTTTTGATTTCAGCCCCAGTTTCTTCAGAAGAGGCTGCCTTTAGATGGTCTCTGAGATGAAATGGTATTTCAATCTGGGGCCAGTCCTTCCTTTTGAAGCAAGGGCAGCGATTCTGCTGTGATGAAAATGTGCTTAGGGAGGAGAGAGATCTCATTACCGACGACTGAGATTGGGTATTTTGGTCCACGGGGCTGTTTATCTGCATCAGTTTCCTAGTGACACCACAGTCTGGTTTAAATGTAAGTTGTTGAGAGCTTTTGTAGCCCAAGATGGCTACACTTGCTGAAGCAGGGAGAGTAAAGCAACATATGTCAAGTTGTGATATAGCACAAGCCACTTGAAAAAGACTTTAATTATAGGGCTTGTTTTAGGAGGGTAACTGTGCTTTTTTGTGAGGTATATTTTGGGATCCACTAACCCAGCTTCAGGGCTAGTAATATCTTCCCAGAAAGGGTGTGGCTTGTGCTCGTGGACATAAATATTCTCTTACCAAAGCCTTTGGTGTAATATTCCTTCGACTTCGCTACCCTCCATTTTTCTGGTTATGATAATCTGTCCCTTCGCAAGGCTGCTGTGAAAATGTGTTCTGGAAAGTTGGAGAAGAAAAGGGTAAAAGATCTCATTTCAGATGGCCAAGTCCAGAGATTTAGAGACTTTACATGATCAGCCTGCTGTTTTTAAGATGAATAGAATGTGGAGGAGTGCACCAAAGCTGAATAGTAAGCAGCGTCGGGTGAGACAGCAAGAATGCTGAATATCCTAATGTAAGGAACTATAGAGAAGCTACACATGTATAGCTCCTTCCCTGCCAGCACTGCCTCTCCAGCGCCCGGGTAGCTCTCGTGGGCAGGCTCAGTGCCCTTTTACCGCAGCGAAGGCCCTCGAGCATGGGTATCCACCTGCACGTAGCTCTTCAAGACTCTCACCTCTGGCGGCCTCCTTCACTTCCCTCTTAGTACCTGAGGCCTTTGGGCTCCCTCAGCGGAAGGGTTGGAACTTTCTGTCCAGTCAGCGTTTCCTCGTCCTCCTTTGAAAGCGAAGGATAAAAGGAGAAATCAGATCAACACAATAAAACCAGCTTTTCATCTACGCAGTGTGTGTGGCAGGTGGGCAGGGAGGAGGAACAGAGGTAGAGTAAGAATGATTTTTTTTTTTAATCAAAAAGAACCAACCACACCTGAGGGCACAGAAGCACTTTTGCCTAAATTCTAAGTCTCGAAGGCAGTAAAATGAGAGCGAGAAGGCCCCAGGAGGGAGATTGAAGGCAAAGCCTGCTAACTGTAGAAGTCTCCGGAGAGGTGGCCCCTGTTCTCCCAGGAGCCGTCTGCGGCCTGCATCTGAATCACCCAGAGAGATTGCTTAAGGGTGCAGGTCCCTGGGCCCAGTCGAGGTGGATGGAATCTGAACCCTTGTAGCAGGTGTGTTCTTCACGTCACACTCCAGGTGGCTGCTGTGCACACTCACAGGCCACCCTGCCCAGCCTCTAAGATTCCCTTCCCTGAGCAGGGCTGAAGAATGCAAAGAACAGATCTGCTATTTTGAAGGTCGGGGCTGCGCATGTTGCTCCTTGCTCCGCTGTGCATGGGCCGATAGAGCACCATGTTCTGCTACCCTGTTCTCTTGATCCTTGAAGTTGCTCCTTGCTCACCAAGAGGAGTGTCCTTCTCATCCCAGATTAGACTGAGTGCCATCCTAAGCCAGATTCTTTGAAGCTGCTTTGAGACCGGCGTCCATCTCATAAGCTCCCGTGTCTCTGCCGTCAGCCCTCACGCAAAAATCTACACTGCAGCTTGGGTTTTGTCTGCAGTAGTGCTTATTTCCCATTTACGGAGGGGAAGCGTTTTCAGACTGAGTTGGCTGTTGCATACTCTAGTACGAGGCTGGACAGCTAACACCGGGTAATAGATCCCACCTGGGATTACA